GACTCAAATTACAAGTCGACTGACTGAATCGAGCCGGCAACGCTTGTTTGTATACTTTCCGCAAGATCTTACAGAACATTCTAAATCAGTCGCGAATGTTCTACACACTTCGACATGTATAGTGCGATCATATGGCGCGATCGAGAAGACGCAGCGTTTTCTCTCATGTTTTTGTTTAGTTATGCCAAATGTCTAGTTTAAATTAATTATGAAGCTTTTACAAGATTTCGCGGCGCCCCTATAAAGAGGCTGCGGCTCCCCGGGGCGCCGCGGCGCACAGTTTGGGAATAACTGTCCTAAACTATTGTGTTTTTATACTTTATTATGCGCAAGACACGCACCCTTCTATATTCTTACATTATAGTTTTCAATTGTTTATGCCACCTTAAGCCCGACAACGGTGAAATCGGAGGATGGGAGGAGTTTTACTGTCTCTCCTAGTGCTCCTTCATCATGCTCTGATAACAAGGATCGTGTAAAAATTCCCGCTATAGAGCAAGGATCTCCGTCGACCCTGACCTTGAATAGCTCTGGATCGGCGGTGCCCGAAGAGCAACGCCATTCGCACGAAAAACCGGACCAGACAGACTCAGCCAATGCATCAACTGGAGAATCATCGTGCAGCAGCAGCAGCTGTGGGACTCGTACTAAACCGCCGGACTCCGGCCCGCATCCCACCAAAAACAGCCCGTCGACGTCCAACACAGTGCATAACGGTTCTTTCGTGTTGAATGCGAGCGGCGAATATGAGACGCGCCGTCTGCTCAGCGAATTGCATCAGGCCTGGATGGAGTTCGATCCTCTGTGTTCTGCGCTGACTCGAGTTAATCGGCAACTGGATGTACTGCAGCATAATCCTCCAAAGTGAACATTTATATCTATAAATTCATCTATACGTCTATCCTTTTATTTTTATATTTAGTTGTCTGATCATATTATTAGTTTTTTTCCAATATGAAGAAGCCGATCTCTTTGAATTACAGAAAGGACCGTTTGCCTCGCATGTAGCTTTGTTGTGCTTATTGCTGATGCAGATAGATATCCACACCTTTGCAACATTGTGCAAAACGATTCAATCAGGATGTGATGTCTAAGTTCAGAATTCCTCTACAGCAATTTAATTAAAAAATTCAGATCTAAATTTTTTCCGACTATCTGTTTATTTTTTCAAAGTGCTTCAGTATTATCAACCTTTTTCGCTTTAGGCTGGCAAAAGGATGCTTCCTTTAGGTCGAAGGGAAAGTATTTCATAGGCTTACTGATGGTCATCTTATTAGTGATAATGTTTTTTTTGCCACTAAGTCCTTGTTTTTGAACTTGACTTTTATTTCAGAAACCTATTTACAGAGGCAAATTATGGCAGAAGTAAGGTCGAATTCGTCTGTTGAAGAGAAGTATTCTCTTTATCAGGTTTTCCCTTTGCATTTCAAATGATCCCTGGATTCCTTTTTTGATGTTCTGGATGTATGTTTTATTCTTATGCCTCGTTGATTTATTACGATAAAGGGTAACATTTTTCTGGTTCAATTTCATCAGAATTCTTGCAGATAGGAGAAACCGAAAAGAAGCTTGTGGCTCTTTATTTTTTAATAGACCTTAAGTGCTGCGAAAGGTGTGTAAATCTTGTTGTAACTAACGAAGCTTGGACGCTGACGACGATCCTGCCAGATCGGTATGCAATCCTTACTTTGCTTCTTGACTTCCTCTGACTGGATGATGAATATGTGGAACCTAAACATAGAGCGTATTAGGCTTCACCAGGGCAGAGAATATGTAAAAACAAGTCTCGACACAGGCCAAAATTGGCCAATTGCTTGTTGAACTTAGTATATTGTGGGGAGCTTTCACGTGAAAGCCATCTGACAGGGGTTCATGGGACTGCTTAGTGTCGATGAGCACAGTTGAACATGTGGGTAGTGGCCAAGACGCGAAAACTTCTTGTGCACAATAAAATTGCGGGGTGAGGCCAAACACGTATTTAATTAAGCCTACATCTAAGATTGCTGTTCCAACCATCCATCAACACATTTGCAGATGGAACGTTAAGAACGTCTAGCTTCTGTTGCTTGTCACAGACAAAATTTTGATACAGAATTTCTTGTGATAGCCTGCAAACCTCTTACGAACAATAG